TACATAGTGTCCGACAGATTTGTAACACATCTCTTATTCAGAGATGTGATGTCGTACGTGATGTATAGTGTCCGACAGATTCTTATTACATCTCTGAACAATACATGCGAATTTTAAACACAAATCTTTAAATGTTATAGTTGAATAAATATGAAAATTATTGAATAGAATTTACTTATTACTCGAATAAAAATCGCAATGGGAAGAATAATACATCTTCTTCACTTGGGATTTCTATTCTCCTGCAAGCAATCACGTTTCAAGTGGAGCATTGAAATATTGTTTATATTATAGATGGGAATGGCGCAACAGGAAGCCGGTGCGTCCAAGCCGGTCACGCCAGAAGAAAGTGGAAAACCCTTCAGCAAGTTACTGCAGTTGGGAGGAAACATCATAGCGGCGGGAAATGGTAGGTTTTGTTTATCTTAGCTCTAATGTCTGCATTAAACCGCACATAATTATTCATTATAATAGTTTATAATTTTATTTACTTTTAATTTTACTCATTTAATGTTAACTCTCTTCACATCGATAACAAAATACGTACGAGAAAAAATTTACGCATTGAAACATTACAAACTACTTTTAAAAAATTAACTTCACTTCCGTATCTCACTCTGCATCTGCCAGAAGTGTATTTCAAAGAAAAAAGCTTAAGCTTATTCTACACACTTTCCAAATAACATCAACGAGCAAGTCACCGTTAGTGCAAATTGCTTTGGAGTGTCGTACAATCGGAATTGTAAAATTCCTTCCCGTAATTTCTTGTTACGTCACTTCAAATGCATTCGTCAAGTTTTCCTCACGTTGGTACCTGGACTCGACTGTGGAAGCTACTACTCGGGGATGATTTTGTTTCCGCGCGGGCATTTTTATTTCACGGCAATCTCTCTCGCAGCACTTCAATCCGCGGAATTTTGTGCGTAACTGTGAGTAACGTGCAAACAACGTTTCACGTCGGACGTAACACTTGCATAAATATCAGCTCATGTTTGCCCAATTATACGGTGAGGCGCTGCTGCGCGCCGAGGGATGAAAGCACGCGGATAAAAGCGCGCGGAGGCCAATGAAGGTCGAGGACAGTCGGGGCAAGGGCGTTTCCACCCTTTTCATCGGCAGCGTGCATTTTCCTTCTCCTCTCATTTTGCACGATACGCGACGGAAGAGAGCGCCGTATACCACCGTACCCTGCCGTTGAGGCAGAAATATTGAAGGCGAATGCAACCAGACGCGAGGTGCCACGTAACAGTAGTAACAGTTTCGACACACCTGCACGACCGGTTGTCTCGATACAATACTGTCTATTTTGATTTATATGCTACCAACGAGCTGAAGAAACGTCATGCGGCCATTTATCAGCGCGAGGTATTGTTAGAGCACGTCGAGCAACCGTAAAGCTTTGGTCGGTCAGTCTTTGCGAATAAACTCATTTCGCCTCCTCCCGACCAAGTAAAGTTTTATTTACAATTACTCTGCTCTACTTCGTTCTACGTTTCGTTGATGACTCTTTGATATAGACGTAATAATATATTAGTGCTGCTATTTCACTACCTTGTATTTTACCGCTATCGGCAAACATAATTAATAGCCCCTGCGTGCTTGCGTAAGACTTTAATGCTTTTACTTTGTTAAAAGGGAAGGTACGAATTCAATTTACATTTTTTTACATTACTCGACTTGGAACAATGAAACACTCGTGCGCGCACCGAGAAAATGTCAATTCGCAATCGCATTTTCACAGAGGTGCCGAAAGTTTAAAGGTTACTTTGGAAGTTCAAAGGAATACACCAAAATACAGCAATGCATCATTCATAGTCAATTTGACAAGAGAAATTCGATCGGCGAGTACGCGCGAGCTCCATTATCAAACGATTCCATTGTCGATCGGCGAAGAGAGTCGGTCCCGAAACTAATACGCGCATAATTCACTGCGCGATAAAATGTTACAGGCCCATCCACATTTCTTGGATTTCGCAAATTACCGCGCCTTCGGGGGGAAAATACTCGTAAAGTAACCTGGCAGTGCAATCTGCGGAAATGCGCCGCATTTATCTTCGCTGTTGTGCAAAATAAAAAAAAAGCGACATTCGAAGGAAAATCCGCTAATCGAGGGAGATACTCGAGAGCAATATAGTCGAAAATCGCGAAAAAAAAGACCTCGCCGAGCGTACTTAATTTTAATCCCTGGAAAAAAAAACGCTAACGAAAATAAATGGGAAGGAAGTATTGTAAAAATACTTTCAAAGTGAGCTAAACTCGACTATGCGGGGCTGGATTTAAATGACAGAGATTCGACGAGGGTGGAAGTTTTCTCCTCCGATGGGACGTTTCACCGTCCGTGACGTGAATAGTATCGCAAATTTTTCCCTTTTTTATTTGTATTTCGCATTACCGTTAAACTCTATTTACTGCCGTACGATAATACATTATCTGCTGCTTTAAAAGAAGATAACTCACGATTGATTATCGTTCATATTTTAGATAGGAATCATATGTGCATAAAAATATTAAAATGAGACTTGCTCAATGCATCCATGAAAAATATTAATACAGGTGAGCTCACGTAAGCAGATTTATTGAAATAGTTGAAAAGATATTATTTTGCAGTAAAGTATTTTATGACATAGAATATTCGATCAAAATTAATTAGGAGTTTATTCCTTAATCGCTAAAAATTTTACCATCAGACTAAATTCTGAGGGGGAAAAAAAGATAAAAATTCTTACAACGGAACGTGCCGATTGCGAAAAGAAAGGAATACAGGTCTTTTGACAAGATCGGCTTTGCGAGAAGATCGATCTCCCCCGATCCTATTTCCTCGAATCCAACACACGTTTTGTTCGTCCAATCGTTAAGTAATGATGTTTAAGCCTTTAATCGCAATCACAAACGATCAGACGTAAAGGGGAGTGAGTTAATGTCGTTTCACCGACGAAACGGGCAGTTCTAATTAATCCGCTTCGTCCCCCGCGTTCCGGGCCTCCGCACGACGATTCGACTCCGCCTCGTCTATTGGCGGAGATTCGCAGCTCGAGAGTTCCCCGGGAATTTCGCCTATAACCTTCTGCAGACCTCGCTACACCCTCCGAACCTCTCTGATTCAACCCTAAAGGGGAGAAACGGATACTTCCCAGCGAAACTTCTGTGAAACACGCTAGTTAACCCGGCGGATATGGCGGCTTTATTTCTCAGATAATCGTGCTGATCAACGGAATGTAGACGGATGATATCCTATTTTGTCTTCATGCAAGAAGACTGAACTAGCGGTAATGATGATTGATATACCATAAAATACGTTCGGAATGCGTCATAAGGATTCATCAAGCGATAAATTTGCTAGATGAAGTGACTTAATAAACTGGCAACGGAGTGTCTTTCATAATAATAACTCAATAGAGGAAAGAATGGGACCCCCCACTTCATTTTTAAGCGATCTCTTGTAAATTATAAGTCATCAATTTTTGTTTCAATCTTGGTATGCTTAATTCCTTATTCTATTTGTACGCGAGGGTGCAGTACATTTCACACGTGGTTCTACAAAGTATTAATCCATTGCTTAAATAGATAACAATGGATAATACAAGTAGGAACCGTTATGGTAAAATAATTAGCGATTTACGAAACTGGCGACGTTCCGCGATAGAATACACGACGCGGTGGGATGGCAACTCCCTGCGTTCGCGGAGATCCGTAAAAAGCTCGACGGTAACGGCACGAAATTCAGCGGGGAACCGGCACGGTGGTTACACGGAATCGGCTTTACTGCGTTACGAGATCTAAATTCCGCGGCGTCGGGCGAGCTTTATATAGGAAAGCTCCTATACGTGATCATTGCCTTATACGGTCATGACGATGCGTCGATGAATCGCGTTTATATGAAAAAAATAAAAATACTTTTATTATGCAAATCGTACCCAAGCTATCGATTAAGCGCAGTCTCAAGTTCGTGGGATCAGCCGTTGTTGAAATCCAAAAATCTGAGGGCCCGTCAAGTCGTGTACTCGCGTAAACTTACACGGTCGGTCTCGCGCGCGCGGTACTAGCTGCGCTTACACTTGGCGCGAGACACTACCGTGTCTCGTGATAATGCGAATTAGGCGTGATCATATACGAAGATGCAAGCTGCTACGATAGAAAAAGTGGGGGGTAGAACTTTTGCGAATTCGATGGTATGAGGCGGTGAGGGCGGGGACTCATCGAACAAGCTTCTTGAGGCTTCGACTTAAGCTATGCATGGAGCTACACGTTTAATCTAGTATCGCGTAATATCGCCAAATTCGAAGTACAATTTTTTAAGTATAATTGAGAGTTGAGTTACACGCTGATAGAAGATATTTTTCCCGGTGTATCAGCACGCGGTACAAGGTATATGAGGTAACAATGAATATATTATGTGACGATCAGTTGGAGGTACCGCTCGAGGTACCGTCTATAAATTCACGGTACATTTTTTAGGAGGCACAAGTGGTTCTCCCATACGTACCTCCTAAAGTAGTACAATGTACCTCGAAATGCCTGTCTCCATGCCAACGAGAGATGGCTTTTGTTATTTTCTTCCTTCGTCGTGCCACACTTGCGTGATCGCGTCGGCTAAAGACACGAAGTGCATATTACGTACATTATGGATGCTTTTTGTAATATAGATATTCGAGGCATTTTCCGTGGCCAGTGCAAAGAATTAAATGGCGTATGTACAAAGTACATTCGCAAATTACATAATGTGGATCAATCGTCCGTTTTATGTCTATATCGTGGGCATCCACCAACAAGACATGTTTCTGTGTCCTCAAAATAAGACTTCTAATTTCGAGGCACCAGCTTCCCTTCTATTTTGGTGGATTTTTATGTACCTCATAATTACGTGTACTTTTTATTTCAACGTGTACCTTCAATTTCTGGCGGTACACGCTTAAGAGTGTAAGCATTGTTGCTATGCGGAGCGACTTCTAGAAATTTCTCTCGCACGGCGGTGCCGCTCCCTTTTTATGTTCAGTATTTCACATGAAATACTGAACACTATTAACAATCCATTTCTAACTTTTAATTCACAATCCTCCATGTCCAACAATACAGAAAGATTTACAGAAAAACAAAGAGGACTAAATATTCTTCAATGGGTTGCCTACCCTGAACTCATCGCACGTTCCAACGGGTTAGGGGTTCGTTTCCGCCCCCATGTGTATTGATAAAAAAATGTTTTGATTTGTACTTTCACCCCTCAAGCGTTGCAATATGAATTTATTAACACCCTGTATAGATAAAATGTCTGACAACGATTGACGCCTCTAGTATTTTATAGTAACCAGCACACGATTAACGCCTCTGGTTCTTAATTAATTAGCTGGCACACGATTAACGCCTCTAGCATTTTATGCAA